GGGCCTCTGTAGTGCAGGGGCTAAGAGAAGTGGCTCTTGGTCTGAATGTCTCACGAGATGTTTGTATTGCTTCGCTCGAGCCCCCGCAGCCCTCCTCTCCCCTTGTCAAGCAGTACAGGATCTCACGTCTTGTCAGTATTATGGAATTGCTGTAAAGGCTGTGGATATAATGAGGATACGGAGCTGTCTGAGGATGTAAGAAAATGCCTGCTGATGTATGAACTGGGCTGCAGCTTTTAATTGTTCATCAGTGGTCACTTGAGTTGATTAATCCGCCATGTCCAGAGAGGAGAAATGTTGGCTGGCCCTTTAATTGCGTGTGTTGTATTTTTTTGGCCTGTCACTGCAGTCTGGAATAACACCGGAGAGTATTTTATAGCCGGCCAGCCCTCTCGACGCTGGTGCTAGCCCTTGCCGTTAACAGGGCCTTCGATATCTGTATTGAGTTTTGGGGATGTGCCAGAAGAGGGGCTGTTGGGGACCCTGCGGAAGTGTTTAGATAGCTGTTGGCTGCACATGACTTGCTCCGTGGATGGTTTTATCCTTCCGGGGGCACAGCCCTGCTGCTGAAGTCGGTTCAGGGCTGAAAGCACAGCTGCCATTAAACCCGGGCACTCGCTTTGCCCGTATCCGCCCCGCGGATCCGAATCGAAGCAGGGGAGCCGGGCCCCGTGGGTGGGTGTTCCTGGCCGTGTCTGGCGCTTTCCCCGCCCCGCAGCTCCCTCTCCGCGCTTTCCCTGCCCCTCTGTGGCTCGTGCTCGTCACTCATTGTGTCACATCCCCTCGCGATGGTGCCAAGCGCAGCCCGGCAGGGAAACAGATCGCTGCCAGGTCCCAGACGGAGAGGAGCCCCTTGCCGGTGCCCGGCACAGAGACGCCCTGTGGCCTCTTCCCCGGAGACTTGTGGCCCCGTCGCAGCAGTTTAATGTCGGGCGAGCCATCTGGCCACACCTTTTTGCTGATGCTTGGAGGATGCCACGTCCTGAGAATTGCAACTTCGTTGAAGAGGAGGAGGACGGGAAATAAAATCAAGCTCCTGGTCCTTACGAATGCAGAATTAGGCTTGTCGATGCTTGAGCTATCTGTCTGTCTCAGAAGATGGCCCAGGGAGGGAAGGCGAACATTTTGGCATTTTCCTTCAGATTTCGGGAAGCGGAATACATTATGCAAATATCGCACCAATGTTAAAAATTGACTCCATGTGCGAAACTTAGATTACGTGCCGAATTCGCTTTCTGGGGCCTTTTGCAGCTGCGTGCCGGGCCCCGTCCCCCTGCAGTCCGCCACGTCCTCCGAAGCCAGGGGCCGTGTGCAGTTGTGTAATTTTGCCGCCCGGCGTGGCTTGAGCACGCACGCGTTTGCAAGCAGCGCCGGCCTTGGAGTCTTGTTGCGTTATTGTTTTGTTCCATGACCTCTCTTGCTCCCCGCACGCCGCTTTTCTTCGTGGCGGTGCTGCGCTGTCAGTCGTGACGGGGACGCTGACAGCCGTGGAAAGGCAGCACCGCTTTGGTCAAAGGCAGCCGGGAGGAAGGAGGCATTTCGGGAGCTGCGAACAGGGACGGATGCTTTGGTGGGAAGGGGAGACGGGGAGAGGCAGGTGTCGTGGGGGGGGAATGTGCCCGTCACTGTTGGACGCATCATGGCCAAGTCCTCCCGCCCCCCTCTCTCCGTACGTCTCTGGTCTTTCTTTCTTCTCCAGCCTCCATGGAAACTAAAGGCATCTTCTCTGCTTTGCTTGCTTTCAGCTCTCGTTCCCTTTGCTGATCTGTTCTGCCTCGGAGCTAAATTCAACTGTAGGCTCCTAGCAGCAGGGACCCAGGCGGCTTTTGCTTCTTTCTATTTGGTTCTGTTTTGCATCTTTTGTCTGCTGTGCCTGTGCACAGCCCACCTATCATGGGCAGGCCTCGTCCCAGCGGGTAGCAGTCCAAGCCCCCCGTCACCCTGTGGGACTGCTGAGGATTTGGACCCTGGATTGGTTGCTTTGCTGTGCTAGCGCTGGAATGCATTCGCTCGTCCTCCCCAGCTCATCCTCCCCTCGCAACAGCCATTTGCACAACGCCACGGGTTCACACAGCACAAGGCAGAGTCCTGGTGGAGTGTGCGTTGTCGAAGCGTGGGTGAAGCACGGCCACTTGCGTGCTGACCGGGATTTGTGGACGGCAAGAAATGCTGGCCAACAGCTCTCATCATCCAGCAGGAAGAGATGCGTTGAAAAGGATGGATGGGAGTTGTAGTCCAGCTCTTCTGGAGGGTGCCAAGCTGGGGCAGGGGAGGAGCAGGACGGATGAGGTGGCGGAAGCGAGGCGGGGCCGCCTGCTTGCCTCCCTCCTCTGGGGTCTGGCTAACTCTGGTTCTGACTAAAATGCAATATTTGAGATTTGGCCATTTAAGATTAATTAAGTTGATAATAGATGTTTACTACATTCCTCCTCTCATATTTTGTTGACTCAGTATTTGATCATGAAATATTCATCTCGCTTGATGCGAGCTGGTTTGATGCTTGTTATTCCGTGCGATGGGTTTTTTGGTTTTTAACGGTCGCCATGGCTGGGGACCGGCCCTTCCGGGGCCCTGTGCCTCTTTGACGGGGCACTTGGAGCTGTTGCAAAGCCCGCCGGTCTGACTTGTGACGTCGTGCCGCCAAACAGAGACCGGGGATAGGGGTCAGAGGCCGCGAACTGGAGGAGCGGCCTTCCCGTGCCCGCGCTGGCGGAGATGGGCCAGCCGCCCCCGCTCTCGGGGTTTCAGGCCGGGGTCCTTCCGGCCGTACCTGGAGGTGGGGCCAGGTGAGCCGCACACCTTTGGCCTGCGAAGCTGGGGCCCTGCGGCCTCTCGCCGAGCTGCTTCCGAGCAGGCCTGCGACGCACCCCTTTGCGCTGGCACCGGCCCCCTCAGCCTGGGGCCGGCCTGAGTGCAGCCCCGCAGCAGGTGCAGCTGAGGCCTCCCTTCCCCGTTTCCTTGGGCTGTGCGTGTGGCCTCTTTGTGAAGCCAGGGCCAGGCTCGCATCGTCCGCTTTGCTCTTGCGGAAGGAGGCAAAGCAGGAGTCCCATGGGAGCACAGATCTTGCGTCTCCGCAGGAACACTTGGGGCGTGCCGGGGGTCTCCCCAGCTCAGGCAGACCCAACGAAGGGAGGAAGAACTGGGGTGAAGGCTGGGAGCGTCTGGAAGGGCCACCGGTGAGAGCGAGGCTTTGCTGCGGAGAAGCAGGCACATCTCGTCTGCAGGAGTGAGGATTCAGGCGAGGGGCTGAAGCCAGGCAGGTCTGAGGCTGGCCAGGACGTGGGTGGGCGAGCGACGCCTTGCGGGTTCTGCACATGGGTGCTGCCTTGGCCTCCCCAGAGGACAGCCGGGATGTGGACGCGGTCGAGAAACAGGTGGAGCCACGGCTGGCCACCGCTTCGCTGCTAGGGAACATCCCTGCGGCTCTGGGTTTATTCTGGATGGCCAGGGCAGGTCTGGGATAGGACCGAGGGAGCCATTTCCGTGGGGACCGCATGCCGGACTAGAAGGGCCCGTGGCCAGGCCCAGCATGGCATGTATGCTCTCAGCGGTTGCGTCAGCCTTGCCCAACCTGGCAGCCTCCAGGCGGAAAAACCTGCAGCGGAGTCCAGTGAGCCCACCTGTGCATTCCACAGGGTCTTCCTGAGCCTGCAGTGTCTGCAGACGTGCTCTTCGTCCTGCTCCATCTCGGAGGGATTTGCACAAGTGCCCGCTTGTGCTAATCCACGAGTGAGAACACGCACTTGTGCAAGCAGAATCGAACTCATCTTCATTCTTGAAAAAACCCCAAAACAAACGGATTTTGTCAATGAGCAGATGATGGAGTGGCAGATGCTTGACCACGGGCAAAACGCAGATGGCTCGGTTTCTCAGCACGAGTGCCATATCCTTGGTGGCTGGGGGGGGGGGGGCGGAGGGCAGCGGGATGAGGAAGGCTGCATTTGACTGGCGGCGGCCGAACACGTGGCCCCGAGCGGGCACATCAGCGGGAGCACAATACCCGCGAGGTGTGGCGTCTCCATCGGCCACACCTGATTACCGGCATCCTTTGAGGGCGTGTGTGGCAGTGCCAGGACTCCCTGGGTGTGGGAGACAGAAATGGCAGCGCAGAGGAGGGAAAGGCTTTGCATGGAAAGCGCTGCCGGCAGGTGTGGCGCTTGGAATCCAGTTTGTGATTCAGCCGAGAGTGGCTTGGGGGCGGGGAGGGAATGTCTGAAGCCGGGTGTGGGAGAGGTTGGGTTCGTGATATTATAGAAATGGTGCGGAGAGGGAATTCTCTCCTCCTCTTTCATGATCATGGAGCCTGGGGGCGGTGAGCCTATTAAGTGGAGGTGACCGTGGGTTCAGGGCAGACAAAAAGAACTATTTCTTCATGCAGCACATAATTAACTGATGGAATTCCATTTTGACAAGATGTGTGGATGGCCCTTGCTTCACTAGATTGAGCAGAGGATTACAGGAATTCGCGGAGGAGGAGAGATCTGTGCGTGGAGATTAAGCATGATTAAGCATGATCGTTCACGAAGGAAAGGGATGCGATGCCAGGGCAGGGGTCTCGTTCGAGCGGAAGGGCCCCAGCTCAGCCCAGGCATCTCCAGGTGGGGGGAAGGGCTGGGGGAACGTTCTGGATCACGCAGGACAGCCTTCCTCAACGCCGGGAAGGCTTGGACTGCAGCTCCCACAATCCCCAGCTGATGGCGTTGTCCGGGTGCCTGGAGGAGACTCGGCTGAGGAAGGCTGGGGCAACCAGCATCCAGCTGCAGGGAGCAGGCGGGAATCTGACCCCGCGTGGGGCCTTCCGCCCTGGTCTGATGGACCTCCGTGTCCGGGGGCTGTAAGCTCGGGATCCCGGGGGCCGGAGCGGGTGCTGCGCTCTGCTTGCGAGCGGCCCGGGTGCGGAAGGCCTTTGGCGGCAGGAGGGGGTGTCTTGGCCTGGCGGGGCTCCCCGTGCCCCCGCTCGAGGCTGGGCCTTGCTCACCGCCCCGTCCCTTGCTTTGCAGCGCCTGCTCCTGACGGCGCCATGGAGGGCCTCCTGCTGTGGGTGCTGCTGGCGCTCGGCCGCTGGGCCCAGGCCCAGGTCTGCCCTAAGCGCTGCATGTGCCAGAACCTCTCGCCCTCGCTGGCCATCCTCTGCACCAAGACGGGCCTCCTCTTCGTGCCCACGGTGATCGACCGGCGCACGGTGGAGCTGCGCCTGACCGACAACTTCATCACCGTCATCCGGCGCAAGGACTTCTCCAACATGACCAGCCTGGTGCACCTCACGCTCTCCCGCAACACCATCAGCCAGATCCTGCCCTTCGCCTTCGCCGACCTGCGTGGCCTGCGGGCGCTGCACCTGGACAACAACCGGCTGCTGCTGATCACCGGCGAGCAGCTGAGGGGGCTGCCCAACCTGCGCCACCTCATCCTCAGCAACAACCAGCTGCAGGACATCTCCCCCGGGGCTTTCGACGACTTCGTCGGCACCCTGGAGGACCTGGACCTCTCCTACAACAACCTGGCGCGGGTCCCGTGGGAGGCCATCCGCCGCCTGGGGAACGTCAACTCCCTCAGCCTCGACCACAACCTGATCGAGCTCGTCCCAGAGGGGGTCTTCAGCAACCTGCTCAAGCTGGCCCGCCTGGACATGACGTCCAACAGGCTGAAGAAGATCCCCCCCGACCCGCTCTTCCTCCGCATCCCCGTCTACGCCAAGTCCAAAGGGTCCCCGCCGTCGTCGCTGGTCCTCGGCTTCGGGGGCAACCCGCTGCACTGCAACTGCGAGCTCCTGTGGCTGCGCAGGCTCACGCGCGAGGACGACCTGGAGACCTGCGCCTCCCCGCAGGACCTCCTGGGGAAGTACTTCTGGACCATCCCCGAGGAGGAGTTCATCTGCGAGCCCCCGGTCATCACGCGCCACTCGGGGCGGCTGCTGGTGACGGAGGGCGAGGGGGCGGTCCTCCGCTGCCGCGGAGTGGGCGACCCCGAGCCCTCAATCCACTGGGTCTCCCCAGAAGGCAAGGTGGTGGCGAACACGTCCCGGACCACCTCCTTCGACAACGGCACCCTGGAGATCCTCATCGCGACCGTCCAGGACACCGGGGCCTTTACCTGCATCGCCTCCAACGCTGCCGGAGAAGCCACCACCTCCATCGAGCTGGTGGTCCACCCCCTGCCCCACCTCTCCAACGGCACGGCCCCCAAGGTGCCTGAGGCCGCCGGCCCGTCCGACATCCTTACCTCAGCCAAGGCCAGCCTCCCCGCGGGTGCCAATGAGACGGCCCCCCCCCAGGACAAGGGCGTGGTGGCCTCTGAGGCCTCTTCCTCCTCGGTGCTGATCCACTGGCACCCGCAGTGGCACGTCCCCGGCATCCGGATGTACCAGATCCAGTACAACAGTTCCTCCGATGACACCTTGGTGTACAGGTGAGTGTCCCTCGGTTGCGGGTGGCCATCCAGGAGGGGCCTTCTGGGTCTTTGGCCAAGGGGCTGGAGTCCGGGGGGCTTCGCGGCTGTCCTTGAATGGACCCCTTCTCAAATGGGGCATTGAGTGCCACCCCCTTTCACTCCTATGGGAGCCACTTGGGTGTGGCCAAAGGAGAGGATTTAAGACCAGCCCAGTTCTCATGACGTTCGCGTGTGCGATTCTGTATGTCGAGCTTCAGGGGCGGGAGGAATAAGCACCCTTTAGTCCGCAGTGCAGGCCCGCTCAGTGTCGAGGGGGGGCTGACCACACGCCCAGGGCCGGCTGCGGGGGGGCAACCTCAGGGCCAGACCGGTTGCCCTCCTTCCTACCCACAGACTTGGAATCGGAGTCGGAATAGATGCCTCTTCAAAGAGAGGACCCCCCTCCGACAGCTCCCCAGAAGGAAGGACTGTCCTCTGTAAAGCAGGACACTTGGTCACCTAAGGCAAACCTCCAGCTTTGCAGAGAGAAAACCTTTTCATGTTTTGCTTCTGCTTTCGGTCTCAGAAGGGGCCTGGGTGTTCTGCGAACTCCTGGAGGCGGTTCCAAGGATCAGTGGGCGATTGCCAGACGGACAGCCGCGCTTGCTTCTGTGCTGCTCCAGCCGCCCTCAGGGCAGCCTGAACTCCCCCTGCAAGCAAGGAAGGCGGGCTACATCTAGTGATTAGGCTGTGCTAATGGAAGTAGCACTTCCAAATCCCGCGACGTCCTGGTTCCCCTTCGCTCAGCGCTGGCCGGGCCTCGTCCGGAGCCCTGTGCCTGGTTGTGGGCACCCCAGCTGAAGGGAGATACAGGCCAGCCGGAAGGGCTCAGAGGAGGGCAGCCGGGAGGATCCGGGCACTGGAAACGAGCCCCGTGAGGAGACGGAAGGACTGGGCATGTCTCGCCTGGGGAAGGGAAGACTGAGGGAGAGGGGATCGCGCTCTTCGGTAACTGGAGGGCCGCCGCAAAGAGGAAGGCCAGGATCTCTTCTGTGTGCAGGACACGGAATAACGGGCTCCAGCCGGCAGGTTCCGGCTGAGGATCAGGGTCAGAGCCGAGCAACAATGGGACCCAGGCCCGGGGGGGGGGCTCTCCCGCTCGGGAGCCATTGAGGAGGCAGCTGGCCAGCCGCCTGGGAGGGCGGGCTTAGTGTGGGGTCCTGCGCTGGGTGGGGCGGGCCGACAGCCCTCCTGGCCCCTCCGACTGCTCTTCCGTGGCTCTGTGACGTCCACGCAGCAGCGCCTGCGCTGAAACCGCCATAGTAAGAGGGCTGGAGGCAGGCAGCACTTTTCCATCGTGGCCGGTGGTCCCGCTCCGCCTGTTCCTTGCTGCTTGGCTTCACGTGCGCCTGGCGGGAAGGTTAAAGCGCTGTGCCGCCCAGCTGGCCCCGCCAAGCCCGGCCCTGTTCGGCGCCGTTGCCCCGCCATCGGTCTCGGGCGCTTCCTTCCCCAGCCCAGCCAGCCTGGGGCTGAAAGGGGAGGCGTGGCGGCGCTCGGTTTAGGGCGCTGCTTCTCTTCCGGCAGGGCCCCTTAGCCCCCGCATGTGGGGGGCTCCATGCGTGGCTGTGAGCTGGATGGAGCCGCAGGGACTCGAGCCGAGTGGGCTGGGATGAGCAGGGGCTGCCACGACCTGCCTGCTTCCGCCCGTGCCCCCCCACCCAGCGCGGCTGCGCTGCTCCCTGGCACTTGTGGGCCGGAGGGGATGAATTTGCTCCGCCGCGACCTCCGCGCTCTCCCTGTTGCAAGGCGAACGCTTGCTGGGGCCGCCGGGTCCCGCACGGTCGTGGGCCCCCCTTCGTGGGAAGAGCTGCTCCCGGCCCTTGTGGTGCCTCCCCGGGGCAGGCCTGGCCGGGGCAGCTGTCACTTCCGATCTGCCTCTGCACCTCCATTCCAAGGTATCCCGTGGTGCCCCCGGCTGAAAGCTGTCTCAGTGCCAGCACCTGCTCGTGCCCCCAGAGGCCCCTCAGGCACCGACGAGTCCCTGTTCTGAGCAAGCTGAAGATGCGGCTCCTGGAGGATGACGTTGGTTGGCACATTTACCAGCCCTTGTGGCATGTTAAACAACTTAAAAATCGCCAGATTTCAAATGTTGCTGCTCTTAAATTGTTTCCCTCCCTCTTGAGTTCCATTTTAGGGGGAAAAGTGGGAATCTGCCCTACCTCCACCTTTATTTTATTAATAAAGCTAAGCAGGGGCTGAGTCTCGGAGTTCAGCCTGGCTTAATTCAGTCGTCAGGAGCTGTGGAGCAAGACCGGCGGACTCGCGCGCCCTCCTGCTTTTGCAGAGTGGCGGCCGCTGAGCCCACTCAGCTCTCGGCCCTTGAGCCCGCGACCAGTCAGACCCTGTGCACGAATCACAGTGGTCTCACGCAGCAGATGTGTGGGGCTGCAACTCCCAGTATCCCCAGCCAGTGATTCTGTAGCCCAGTACAACTGGAGGAGTCCAGGTTGGGGGAGATTGGAACGGAATATGGGGTGCGGGTAGAAAGTCCGGAGATTCCGGCTGGGAAGTGAGTGAGGACACAGGATTGCTGCCAGGCACCGGAATTAGTCCCTGGATGCAAGGTAGGCCCTCTTGGCCTCCTGCTCGCCCGGATGCTGGTGGTGGATGAGCAACTTCAAGCCTTCTCCTTTTCCTTAAACCTGCCTGAGCTTGGGCAGCCTTTCAAACAGAGGACTGCCCTCTGTAGTGGCCACACGTGACCGCTGGAGATGGGACTCGGGCTGTGCTTGTGGGGGCTGGCGCATCCCAGGATCGGCTCCAGAAGGCCGGGGTTTGTCCCCTCCTCACAGTGCAATTTCACCTTGACTGCGCAGGCAGCCCCGCGAACGAGTGCCGATTACCCATAATACTGCAGACGCTCGGCTCCTGGCCTTTTGAAGTAGGCCTCAGATAAAGTTGCCGTTTTACCTTCTGAAATCCTCCCCTCTGGAGACAGCAGGAGAATAATTTATGGGCCGCCCGAGCCCCGGAGTCCTGCCGCGATCAGTGGGCACGTGGCGACGGTGCGGGGCCCGGGTCCTTTTCATCTCGAACGCATCTCGTGTCCCGCTGCTTTCTCCTTGCCGAAGGAGACGGGCTGGGCGGAAGGCAGGGTGCCGGCTCGGCTTCGGCCGGCTGCCCAGGAGTACACGAGGCAGCCAGCCGCCAGACACGGCCTGGGCAGGCCGTTCGTTTCCGGCGAACCTCGTTTTCTTTCAGAAGAAGGGCTCTGGGCCTTCGGGCTGCCTAGAGGTGCTTGACTGTGGCATCCCAGAAGCCGTGCCTCCTGTCCTGCCTCGCTCCCCAAGAAGCGGCATCATTCGCACATGGGTGGAAGGCGGAAAGTTCACTGGCGCAGAAACAAAAGAGCCAGGCCGGCGTGCTGCGCGATCCTGTGAGGTCGCCATACCTGGCTGCTTCGTGCGCTGGACTTCGGGTGGCTTGGCATGGGATGTGGACGGCTGTTCTTACGGTTGTTATTCTTAGCAGCAGCCTCATTGCATGCTTAGTATGCACACGGTCCTGGCCACAGAATCGTAAACTCAGAGCACAGCAAAGTGGGGGGGCCAAGGACCACCCCCTGCTCAGCGCAGGCCCAAGCATCCTCTCGGGGGGCTACCCGGCTGCCTCTTGAATGCCCCCAGGCTGGGCGGCCCCTCCATCTCCCCAGGTCACTGGCTCCGCTGTGCTGCTCCAGCCGTCTCCCAATGCCCAGCTGGGATCCTGAGCCTGTCATTCGGCGCCCTTCCCTCTGGGATGGTCCGGAAGGGACGGCACCCCCACCCCACACAGCCCCCAGCCAGCATTCCAGAACCTGGCACCCTCGCACCTGTTCTACCGCAACTCTCCTCACCTCAGCCTAACTGGGGATGATGGGCTTGCCACCAGACTGCAAGCAGCCCTCCTGACAAAGATTCATGGGTTGCGTGGCGAGGACGCGAAAAATGTCGGCAGAGTACAAATTAAGGGTAATAAATGCACTGCACTACAAGGAACGAAGACAGTGGAGAGAAGTATATCAAAGTCGAGATAAGAGAAGCCAGGATCTGTTTCGGCAGCAGCGGCGCCCAAACTAATTGAAATGGGCTGCGCTTATCGGTGGCCTCTGAAGCGACGCCGCATCCGTTTGGAGGTGACACGCACGGGAAAGCGCCTCGGAAAGTGTGAAGGCGGTGGAAAGGGGCGTTCCTCCCGCAGCGCATTATCCAGCCACGGACTCGCTACCCCCGGCCATGGGGGGTGGTGGCCAGCAACTGGGGGCACCCTCCTATGCAGCTGCCTGAAAGCTCGTGGAGGGCAGGGGGTGTGCAGAGGGGAGGGTGGCCTCGAGGAACGCTGGCGGCTGCCAACCCCACGAGGAGGAGGGCCTGGGGCACCGCCTGGGTTCGGGGGCAGCTGGCAGTGTGTCAGGACCCCCCTCGGCCCCTGGAACACTCCCAGCCACCCCGAAGAGGTCCCTCTGTCTTCCGGACCACAGCTGGTGCAGGTCGGGGGGGGAGGGCACCTCCGGGGACAGAGCCCCACTGCAACCCACGAGGCATGCCTGTGGGCGCAGTGGGGTGCCCCTTTCTCTGTGGCCAGCCCGCTCGCATCCACTGGCCACAGGGCGGTGGCTGCGGGGGCTTTCGGGGGGACGAGAGAGCGCTCCCACGCAGGGCCGCCGTGCACGGGGACCTCTGCTCCCGGAGTCGGGTTGCTGGGCACTCCAGCCCTCTGGCTCGGCTCCGCTGCTTGGGCCACCTTTTCCGTACAATCGCTCATGCGTCCGGGCGATGCCCGAGGAGTCTGCCCCGATACAGATGGGTGCCACTCTCTGTGAATCTGCCCGGGGGTCCCGTGCCAGACCAGCTTAGCCCGCCTGAGCCATGCGGATTCTGCTGACCGTCCTGGATTCTGCCACATTGCAACCATGGAAGGGCTGGGAACGAAGGAAAGAGGCGCCTTTCCCAGGGCAGGCCGAAGCGTTGGTTTTTTTGCGGGGGGGGGCGGGATTTGTGCGTGCGCGCATTTCCAAAGGGCTCACGTGCACAAAAGCCTTCTTTCCCAGGGAAACAAGTCCAGTTGACGGAACTGAGGCCACCTGACAACCCAGGAGACGCAACGGGGAGGACGTAACAAGTCCTGAACTGCCCGTCCGGCGTTCTTTGGGTCCCTTTTGGAGGGTGTGAAGCTGCCTCCTGCAACTTGGCCCCCTCCAGGTGCATGGACTGCAACTCCCATCATGCCCAGCCCCCGGGAGTTGCAGTCCTGCGTGCCAGGAGAGTGCCAGGCTGAGGCATCCGAGCGACCTGCGCTTTGTACTGGTGTGTGGTCGCTGCTTCTGCCTCTGTTCTGTGTTAATGCGAATTGCGTGTTGAGGTTTCCCTGAATGTCTCTGTAAACAGACTTTGATGAGGGGCGGTCTCCAGATGCCACAGACAAGTCACAGTCTCTGCCCCAGGGAGCTTGCAATCCCCGCTCGCTCGATGGAAAGACCGCAGGAAGGCAGTTCCGGTGGAGAGAATCCAGCAGCCTTGCAGAGGCCGGGCGATGCCAAGATCTTGGCGCAGACTCCGGCACATCTTCTGCCCGCCCTTCCGCTCCTCGGCTGCATTCCCTTCTGCTGAGCTCTTCCTCCACGCCCCCTGCTCGGAGCTGCTGAATCGCAAAGATGCAGCGAGGCTGTTGGGACGAGTCCCTCGGGTTGCCCCCACGCCCTGGCAGCTGGCCCAGAACTAGCCTGCCTGCCTGCCTGGTTGGCCGGAAAGAAGCAGCTAATGCTAAGTGACCTACTTACGGTGCGGAATCCAAGCACGGCCCTCGCGTGCGCTTGTGCTTGTGCATCTGTGCGGGCCGGTGCACAGCAGGAGATGGGGACGGTGTGTGTGCAGGCTGGGGATGATGGGAATGGGGATCTGCTGTGGCTGGAGGGCCCCGGGCTGGGGCCAGGGAGCCCGTTTGATCCCATGGGGGAAGTGAGCCGTGCTCCAGACACCTCTTCCCGGTGGGTTTGCCCCACTGTGGTGCCCAGGCAATCAGATCCTCTGTGGGGCCTGCCAGGCTTCCTGCCAATTTGATAAAAGGCGACATCTTGTTTTCACTGAAACAGTTATCTCTATATAAATTAATTAATGCTTTCCTAGCCTGCCTCTCTGCCCCAAGGCAGTCCTGCAAAATAAAGCAGCGGGCGGTTTCCGCCTGGCTTTGGTGCTGTGTGCCCGCGTTCGTTCGTGCGTGGTGTGTGTGATTTTGTGGTGTTCGCTTTTGCGAGGGAATCCATTTGGAGTGCAGGGAGCGTCTCTGGACTTGAATTCGGCCCCCAGCGAAAGGCGGGGAAGCGAGCCCCGGCGGAGGGCTTGGCAGCAGGCTGTTCCAGTGATCCGCCGTGTCCCCCCTTCCCTTCCCTTCCCTCCCCTTCCCTCCCCTTCCCTTCCCTTCCCGCCAGGATGATCCCCCCGTCCAGCAAAGCCTTTCTGGTGAAGGACTTGGCCTCCGGGCGGGACTACCACCTGTGCGTGCTGGCCGTCTACGACGACGGCGTGACGGCGCTCACGGCCACGCGCAGCCTGGGCTGCGTCCAGTTCCGCACCCCGCAGGACGCCCCGCAGTGCCACGCGCTGCACACCCAGTTCCTGGGCGGCACCATGATCATCATCATCGGCGGCATCATCGTGGCCTCCGTCCTGGTCTTCATCATCATCCTCATGATCCGCTACAAGGTCTACGGCGGCCAGGAGGAGCACAAGAAAGCCAGAGTCAGCAACGTCTACTCGCAGACTAACGGCGGCCAGGCGCCCCCCGCCCGCTCCGTGCCCTGCTCGGCCTCGAAACCGGAGGGGTGGGCCGTGGAGGGCTCGGCGGCGCCCCGGCTGGGGCGGGACCGCAGCGTCCCGGCCCTGGGCAAGGACTGCGAGAAGGGCTTGCGCTCCCACCCCTCCGAGCAGGCCCCTTCTCCCCGAAGGAGGAGGTGGTCACGGACTAGCCTGGACCTCCATGGCAGCTCTTGCGGGCCGGCGGGCGAGGACCCCAGAGCGGAGGAGCAAGGTAAGGCGGGGAAGGGGCGCGCCGCACGGCTCCCAAAGGGTCACGGGCTGGGGAGCCGCTCTCCCCAGCAGAGGATGGGCACCCGGCCTCATTCAGAGGGGCGTGCGCGCACGGCTAGGGGCCGCCTCTCGTGGCCCTCACGGCTGTGACGATCCGGCCAGAGCCGGCTCCCTCTGCCGGACCTCTCCTGTGCTTGGCCGGGCCAGGGAGCGAGCCGAGCCAAAAGCGAGCCCCCCCCCGGGTGCCTGGGCACGCAGGCCGAGCCGCTCGGCCAAAGCACGCGATGCCCCTGAGCCGCGGTGGCAGCAGGCGGGCGGGAAGCGGGTGCCGTGTACCCAAGGCGTCCTCACGGCTCGCCTGGAGTCCCTTGCCTTCTGTCAGCCGCCCGCCCGCCCGCTCGCTCGCTCGCTCGCTCGCGGCAGGCTTGGGGCCGGGAGAAGGCGGGCTGGGGGCCGGGGGCCGGGCCTTCCACTCAGCCGGCCCTCTCACGGCTTTCCCCCGGGGCTGGCCACGCAGGGCACAGCAAAGGACTTGAAGCGCGCGGAGGAGGAAGCGGGGCAGCCTGCTGGATCAGGCCAGAGGCCCGTGCGGCCTGGCACTCCGTACGCACGGCGGCAGCCGGCCGCCCCCGGGGTCCCTGCGGCAGGGTGGGTGCGAGGCCCCTCCCGCCCGCGCTCCTTGGCAGCTGCTGTGTGCCGGCAGGCCCCCCGGGTGAAGGAGGGAGCCCGTGCCCCGCAGGGCTCGTCGCCGCGGTGGCCCCCTCCTGCAGTGGCGCTCTGCTGCGGGCACCCCGGCCGTGGCTCTCCAGAGCATGCGCCTGCCTCGGCTGCCCAGGCCGGGGGAGTCCGTGCCTCGATGCGCTGGAGCTTTTGGTGGCCGGTGTGCTGCGCCAAGTTTCAGTATCGACAACCCCTGAAATGTCTCGGACGCCCGGGAAAATCAGCCTACTGCAGTGATGTCTGAGTCGGACCCATCCAAACGTCCTGTGGCTTGTGGGTTTAAAATTCCCAAAGGAATTCGACATTCAAAGCTGGATGCCGGGTTTCTGATGTGGGGGTGGAATTCCAAATATTTTCATTTCCGCTGGAAGGGAGACTGCCCCTCCCACTGCTTCTCCTGGGGCTGGAAATTGGATTAAGGTGTTTACGGAAATCTTGCCTTTGGCCTGCACTTTGGAAGCAATGCCGCTGTACCTGTGGAGAGGAGCAGCGGCGATTCCAGCGTAAAGGAAATTAGCCTTGACTGAAATTATCGTAATGTGGAATCGGCAGAGGCAGGCGGGGTGGGAAAGGGGCTTGTAACTGCTTGGGTGGGGAGAAAGCAGGGAGAATCTAGTGCCAGGAGCGGAAAAGTGAAGGTCCTTAAGGACTAGAAACTTGATGTGGAGGTGTACATAGCACAGGCCGAACTGCTTGCTGGATGGAAGAAAAGTCCCGTGTCTTTAGCAGCTATAAAGGAAGGAGGGATTGAGCGAGTGTCGCTGTTTCCTTTATGAGTGAGCACATCTGTTGCATCCCTCGTAGTGCAGAACTGGAGCATCCTCTGAGGGGCGAGGGGAGGAAGGACCTGCGTCCTCCGGCCTCCCCTAACCTTCCTCATCCTCCCCCCACCCCACCCCCATTGTCTGGCTCTGTGCAGATCCTCAGTTGATGCCACCTGCTGGCGAGAGGAAGAATGGCAGCGAATGGACGGACGTCAAGATCTGAGTGCGGTGGAGCCCCCCACGGTGGGAACAGCGCGAGGCAAGGCTGGAAGCCGGAGGTGCGAGGCCTCTTGCCCTCCCGGGGGGCAGAAGCGTGGCGGGGGCCCTTTTCCTCTTCAGGGGGACTTCTTTGAGGGCCCCTCTTGGCAGGCTCCTTATTCTATTTTTTTTTCCCGATTTGTATCCTGCCTGTTTCCTGCAAAGGGCTCAAGGCAGCTTACCTCATTCTCCTCCTCCACCTTATCCCCACCACAACAACCCTGTGAGGCAGGCTGGGCTGAGTCTCTGTGACTGGCCCAAAGGCACCCAGCTGGCTCCATGGCCGAGCGGGGACTCGCACCCCGGTCGTCGGAGTCCCCATCCCGTGCTCTTAGCCACCACGCCACCCTGGCTCCTTCCCAGTGTTGCGCCCCCAGACGCATCGCCCCGCAGCGCACGGCGTCTCCAGGCCTCCGGGAAGCAGCCTGCTGTGCAGGAGCCGGGCGCTGATGCCCCCGCCCGCCCCCATCTCTCCCGCGCGTCCCCGATGCCGCCCTGCACCAGGAGCGCTTCACAGGTGTGGGAACGCACGGTCCCTTGCGCCCGCTGGGGATTGGCCTTCCGGAAGCGCCGTTCAAAGTGGCACCTGGCTGAGCGGGTCGTGCTGGCCATGGGCTGCGGCTGCGCTGCCTCCGCAGGATCCCTGGAAGCTAAATTTTTGAGTGGGGAATGTTGGCGTCTTGGCTGTAGCGCGCCTGCAGGTACATGCGCGGCCGCGAGCAAAGCCGACGGTGTCATGCAGAGCTGCGGAGACATGCTCTGCGCCACTGATAATGTACCCCGGGACAATCACTCCCCCTGGTACGTACCAAGCCCCCGACCGATCCCCCTCCTGGCGTTGGAAACAGCAGAAGAAGGGCTGTGGCGGAGCGAGGGGTTCGCGGGCAGCGAAGGCTCCCGCCACGTGTCCTGGGTGGGGGAGGCGAGCATGGGGCTGGCGCAGGGTGTACGGTTGGAGAACTGGTTGCGTCGCCATGCCAGGAAGCACAAAAGCCGCCAACAGGCGCATCCCCCCTCCCTGAAGGGCCGCCCGGCAGCCTGCGGCTAACGGCATGTGACCGGAGTTGCCAGTGGCGCTTCTGGCCGTGCTCGTTAGCAGCAGCCCAACGAGGGGAAATGAGGCGGAAAAGCCTCACCAGCTGGACTTCCCGGCGCCAGATCGGCACAGGGGCAGGGAGCAGGGGATGAGATGGCAACCGCTGCCAAGGCGGCCTGTAGGCTGGCAGGGCCTGGCGGGCGGCCGCGAGGGAGGCGTCCCCTCCCGGTCAGCCAGGCAAGGGACGCGGCGCCGTTGGGGGGGAACGTGGGGTGGGGGGGATCGCAGTTCCCGCTTGCAAGGCCTGTGAGGAGAGTTCGGAGTCCTCCAGCAGGGGCCCCTGGGCACGCGCAGAGCGCCACGAGGCCTAGCCCTCGGGTGCTGCCCGCTGTTAGCGTTAGCTTCCTGCCGAGACGGCCTCCGGGACGGTCGCGGTAGAAGCCGCTCCAGCCCGTCGGGGCTCTGCGAGGTCTTGTTTTCGTCCTACACGGACCACCGGATACCGCACTGGGCGCCGGTCCCTCCCCAGCCCGCGGCTGCAGCCGGCCCTTTGCACTTGCACCCAGAGGCCTGGCCTGCCGGCCCCGGCTCAGAGGTGGCGAAAACCGCCCCCCTCAGCTCCTTAGGTCGGCGGGTCCGCTGGGACCTTGAATTCCGGAGCTCCGAGGAGTCTAAAGCTGCCTCTCCTCTCCTCTCCTCTCCTCTCCTCTCCTCTCCTCTGCAGGTGGAATCGCCGGGCCCTGCACCGTGCCTCCGCCCGCTCACCGCCATGGTGCTGCCAATCACAGGGAAGGGCAGGCTGGTAAACCCAGGCCTTGCCTGGGGGAGGACGTCCGGTCTGCGGGGAGCCTCCCCCCTTCTCCCTGCCACGGTTTCTACTGGACTCCCTCGTGGCCCCGTTTTCTATGGAGCTCTTTCGGATTTTCTAAACCAAGTCTGCAGTTTTCTAATAAACGGAGTTGGAAATCCGTGGAGGGTGGTGGCTCTCCTCTCCTCGCCCTCGCCCTCTTCCTCTTCCTCTCCTCGCGGGCAGCTCCTCTCAGCCAGTTCATGCCGAAATGGGGCAGGGCGGACCCCGAACAAAAGATGTCAGAAGGGAAGGCGTTGTCTGGATCCAAGGGGGGCTCAGCCCCATCCAAGGGCTGGAAGCAGCGGTCCCCGGGGGGGTGGGCCAGGCCACGGGGCACAGGGACCCCCCCCCCGTTGAGAAAAGGCTCCTTGCAGTTTTGCCGCCTCCCCCAGACTATTGGAGGCAGAGCAGACGAAGCACAAGGGGGAGGGGAGGGGAGGGGAGGGGAGGGGCACTGCGTTCGCAGCGGGGTTGCCGGATCTCTTTCCGCCCAAGGGCCACCTTCCGCTGCAGAGAAGCTTGCGGGGCCTCGCGCGCTGCCCCAGAGCAAGCCCTCGCGGGAGGCATTCCGGCCTCGGAGTGGGGAGGCTAGTGCCCAGTGGGCAGAAAGCCACTGAAGGACTGGTGCCTGGTGCCAAGCGGCCAGGCAGAGGCGTGTGGACCCCCGGGGGGCACGAGGGCTGCACCGGGGGGGCCAGCTGAGCCGGGAGCCTGCGGTCCACACTCCACTTGGCTTTCCTCGGGAGAGAAGGGGCTTCTGTTTGGGCAGGAGGATGGCTTTCTTGGGAGGGAGTCCGCAGCTTTGTCTTCATGATGCTCACGGGGGGGGGGGGGGGGGCGCCTGAGAAGCAAGGACCAGGTGTGGACAGCAGAGAGCCCCACTCTGGGGCAGGCGCCTGGGCCCCACGAGAGCAGAACGAGCAGGGGCGGCCCAAACCCGGGAGGGGTCCCTTGCCCTTGTATTTTGTGTGTGTGTGCGGGGCGGGGGGGCTTTCCCGAGCTGCAGACTGAGCTGCAGCAAAAGCCAAGTGGCAGGTGGAGCCCACCCGGGGCAGCCGGGAGCCGGAGAAGCTGCGCTCGCCCCTCGAGGCAGCAGCTCGGAAGGTTGTGAAATGCTGCCAGTCTGGATGAATTAGCTCCACTTGGAGCCACAAGCCGTGTGCAGCGGCAGGGAAGGGGCCGAGTGCCTCTGGTGCGCCGCGCTCCCATTTCAGCCCCCCCCCCCCCGCAGCATCCTCCTGCACCGGGAGCGAATGCATCCGCCCGCCATCCGTTTTCTTTGGGCGCCCGTCCTGAAGGCGCAGGGCAGCGCAGGGCAAAGCCGGCATCCCGCAAGGCGGCACTAGGCAAGCGGGGACGGCTGCCACGCAGAAGCCTCCCTGCTGCCCGCCGGGGCCGAGCTTGGCTGCCGAAAGCTGGCAGCAACGCGAGGAGCGGCGGTGGCAGGCGGTGCGTTGGAAGCATCCTTGTTGATTTATGTTTTAAATATGTAGAATCTGATTTTCCACAAACGTGTGCAGAGCAGTGGACCGACAAGCAGTCGAAAGCTGTCAGAAGCACAAGCCGACTGGCAAGAGAAACGACTGAAAGCCCTAAATCGCCCAGCCGCACCCTCCCGCGGGCAGGTAAGAGGCAGGGCACAGATCTGCGGAGGAGCCCCAGCCGAGCCCGGAGCGAGACCCGCAGCGGGCCCTGGGGCATCTGGAAGGTGCGCAGACCCGTCGTGGCCCCGGCACCTGCAGACAGAAGCCGCCTTTGCCAGGGGAAGGTGCTGCCTGATGAGGGTCCGCTGCCTCGGCCACGGCGCCGTACATGGAGACCAGATCAGGGCATCTCCCAGTTTCAACCCTCCCGTCTTTCCACTCCTCCTCCCGTCCTTTCTCTTGGCAAGGGAAATCCACGGAGGGGGGAAAGATGGATCAGCTGCGAAGGCCTTTGCTCCGGTGCAGCTAAACAACACCGCCCCCCCCCCGCCCCCCCGGAAGCATCGTGGCTCCGGCCTGCACAGCTCGGGCTCCCATTCGGGGCAGAGCCACAGGGCTCTTTCGGCTTAGCACAACTGCCCTGCCAAGATGCAGGGCGCCCGGCTAACGGGGGGGGGGGGAGGAAGCCAGGAGTCCTGCACAGAAGCTCCCCTCCCTCACATCCCAGATCTGAGGTTGGTTGTGGTTGTGCACGATAGGAGAGAAGCACTTCGTGCATGCTCAGAAACATTCCTAGATTCACAGCGACTGAAGCTGGGCCCCTGCACTGTCTGCGCAATGCACGGTGGGGGGATTCTTCTGATTCATCCCCTTCGTCGCCCTGGGAGGGGTTCTGAAGACCAGGCTCTGCCTTGCACTAGAGGCCAGTCTTCTGTATTTAAGAACACCCAGAAAGACACCTCTGAGGAGCTGACAAGCAGCAGGGAAGGGAAGGATCTTCTCTCTGTGGATGCCCTTTGCATCCAGGATGCAAAGATACACTGCTGCTGCCTGTGGAGGATCTATTCTCCCCTTGAAGAAACTGCCGATTCGCACTTTGCTGGGAGCAGATTCTGGCACGGAGATGGAAGGTGAGTCGCATGCGCTGCCGCCCGGAGTTCACAGTCTCCCTCGCGGACTCGAGGGCCAGAGATGCAGGGCGAGGGAGGCTGAGCCACCCCCACGTCCCCCTGGCGCTCTCACACTGCTTCCTGCTGCCACAGCTGCTCCTTGGTGGATGCGCATGCAGCTCCCCAGGCAACAGAACGCATCTCCTGTCCCTCCGAGTGGCGCCCGGAGCCTGGCGAA